TTTACTAAAAACTAGGAGTAAGAAGAAGCCGTCGCCGTCCTACTCCCAGTCCGCTGGTCAGGGGCTCAATACAATTCACACTGGGCTGATTGCATGATTTGGTATAAAGCATCTCTTGGCAGCCCTCCAAGTCACGGGTTTATGTAAACTATGATAATCTCAGGATCCGATCACGCATACAGCAGAGGAGCCACATTGACAAGGGGCTGAGGGATCTGTAGTGGTCTCTGCCGTTCGACGCCCTCCATTGCTTTCTCCGGCGATATTGTTCAAGGCCAGCTGCCTCAAGGTCATCCAATTCCTTAGTCAACCCTTACAGACGCGCTGATCTGCAGAGACTTGACCTACTTCCACTCGGACACACACGTCCGTCTATGTTCTCGCGGCTGCTCAAGCACCACTCGAACAAGTCTCTTTTTCCCCCTCTCGGCCACTTGACACGACTTAGGACCACGGCGCTCCAGTGAAATGACGTGTGCTCCGAAGTCCAACTTCTTTTCATCTATTCTCCGTTCCTCTGTGTACACAATAAACTATTCCTTCCACTCTGGCCTCCACTGACTTCTCCAATACTAAGTAACCATGGTCTGAAGATCGCAGTTGCGTGGGTTTAAATTACTAAACCCCCTGCGAGGGATCTACTTCCCTCTCAAGAAAGAGGTGCTGGTTGCAAACACGTGGTACATACTTACTTTTATACCACCTTGCATATTTACTCAAGATCACTTTAGATTAAGTTCTGCAAATATTCCCATATTTAATTTCAGAAGTCGATTTGGCAACCACGTGTTTTCAGCAATTCTTCATTAGGTGAATACAGTTGCAGGGACAAAAATGGTCAATTATATGAAGTGCTTAAATGATTTTCGGGTAAGAAGAGAGGTGTAGTTAGTCATCGCGGTGTCCCCTCGGCTCACGCATGCTGGCGCCAGCCTTTTGAGGACGTTTGGTCCGATGAACAGGGCATAGGGGGAGGGGTGTTCTCACGGTCGGCGTGCGTGGTTTCGAATGCCGTGTGATCGGGCGGCTTTGTATCCACTCGTGTAGATGGCCATGTTAGGCAAACTGCAGCTACCAGCGTCTTTTGACAGCAGAGAGTGGGCTACGCTAAACGGATTGTCAC